GTTGATTCGGGAGAGGCTACTGGAAGTAAGGCTGTGCAGTTTGGGAATGTGCTGTGGCTCCAGACCGCCCTCGATGACAATGTCAGCCTCTTCGTCACTCTCCATTTCATCAGGGTGGAAGTTTTGCAGCACGTGGGACATAGGCAAGCTATGGTGACTAGCAGTGCTGTCTGTAGACTGGCCAGAGCTACCAGACATCCTACTGCTTCGAATAATATTGTTCCTCTGGTTCGCTGGCTTGACCGTGATAATAAGATTATGGCTGTTGGCAATCATCATGTCTGTGACTTGGTCGAGAGTCTTTCCTGCTACTTCAATGCCGTTAACTTCCAGGACTTCATCATTCACAGCCAGCAAGCCTGTGCTCTCCGCTAAGCCTCCAGGAACCATACGAGAGATGAAGATACCGGGTACTTTTTCTAGTCCGTGAGGAGTAACCCTTACGCTGGTGCCGTCGCGGATGTAAAATCCCAAGGGTTTCTCACACCCATGTCGATACAGCCTCACCCTCCTGTGCGTTTCGGGAAGGATGTCCACATCAATTATGGAAGACACTGGTCTAAAATCATGAGGCATGCTGATGTTAATGTGGGGACGCCGGCGGAGGTTGTCATTGCGGAGTGTCACCAGAGCCTTCTTCTTCCTCGATAGCGTGTTGGTCCCAAAATTACTGTAGTCCACTTCATCTGAAAGAGAGACAGCACCGATGTATCAGTCAAACGGACGACAACTCAATCTACAGGGCATTTTCCTCTTAAATCTGGTTCAGTGAAGCCACACTCCTAATAATATGGGGAAAAAACCCAGTGAATTCTTCCGCTTACTCTAACCATTGTTTCCTTTTATATCGGCCAGCACATCGTTAAGAATAAATGAGTTATTTTCAATGACTACCCATATTTCTTCCATGTTTTGAGGGAAAAAGACTTCTGATTCTCAGCTCCTGTTGTCAGCTGTCCAGAATGCAATTACTTGCAGCTGCAGGAGCTGATGTACCATCTGAGATATGAGACCGTATTTTCAGAGTTGGACTGTTACACATACCTCTCAAGTGCGCAAGAAGTGTATACACATTCCTAACCTAGACGTCTGAATCGGGGAGTATTTTAGTATCCAATATACAGCCTTAACTGACAGCAGATCTCAGGTACAAACATAAAAGCAGGGTGTGAGAGGGTAGTTGGATGTATGTTTTTAACCTAGCCTTTTTTAGTAAGGAATTTATGTTAATATGCATCTCTTCGTACAGCACTTCTCTCTTTGGAATATGTTACTTCATTTCAGCTGAATTTGACAGCAATAAAAAGTGCTAAAAGCACCAAGTGCCAAAAAAGTGCTGTGTAAGCAAGCGGCCAGGTAGAAAGAGAAGAAGGGAGAAAGCAGCTGCTCTGCTGCCTAGTCCGTATGCGAAGGATCACAGAACAGACAGCGACTCACACACACACTCCCTGCCCTTGAGAAGAAGATCCACAAGACAGTAGCTTTTGTAGGGTCTACTGTTTAAGGAACTGTTTAAATATTGTGCTTTCTGTAGCAGTATCACAAGGGCACATGAAAAGTGATCAACTTTAAATCAGCCAAATAATAGGACAAGTTATTCCATAGAAGAAGATCATGTTGTGTATTGCATAAAAAATACTTAGTCATGAAGTTGTTAGTGTACAAAATGTGTCACTGCATTTCACATTAAAAATACTGTGCATATTTTAAACATGAAGCATGCCCTAGCTGGAAAACTATTTCACTGGAAGTTTACGTGTGCTAACACTTTTCAGATAAACTAACAGACTTTCAGTTTATTCTGTTGAAGACAAGCAGTAAAATACAAAAGTACAATTATAGAATTGCCACCAAGAAAATTTTCTCTCTGGCAAATTAATCCTGCATAGTAATGCTTGAGAAGTAAGACAATACCTCTACCTAATAAAGGTTGGGGGGAAAAAGTGTTAGTAAAAACAAGCTTGTAATTACATTTTTATGTCTTGCAAGGTCTCATTTTCAAGTCAGCTTTCAAGGCATATTATTGGCAGACTTCAATTAAGTGACATGAAGTTACACAACTCAAAGGACACTTAAAAAAAAGTGCTAAGCAGCAACCTGATCTAACTGAGCCTGCTTGGATTCAGGGTGTTGGATTAGCTGGCCTCCAGAGGTCCCTTCCAGCCTAAACTGTTCTGTGATCCTACATAGTCCTTTGGGCCGGAAAAAAAAAATCATTTGAAGACTTCAGAAAGACTATTTCTGTACTCTCCTATAACTTATTTACACTGGCTATACTAACACTGAGGACATAACAAGGCATCTAGAGGGATGTCCTGAAGGAGCACGTTCTGTGAAATAAAGATGCTCCTCGGATAAGTTTGTTGTATTTAACTTCGCACTCGCCTCTTGCCTCTCCTTCCAGGCCATTCAGAGCCGTCACAACTGCACAGGCCCTACCATGTTATTTAGACTGGTGATGCACAGGACTGGAAGTCCTTAGAAACACCCAAACACGAGAAGCTCCCCATGGGTGTCTGGAAGCATATTCAGAGCCAAGACAGCGACTGTGTGGAGATGGCACCTTCTCAAGTCCACCTGGTGAGCAGAGTCAGTGCAGTGTCTACTCTTTAGAACACACAAGCCATCTGCGGCGGCCAAAGCCAGGTATTATTCCTTTACTTCCATCAGCAGGATGACCACCTACATTCATGTAGCCTTTAAATCTTGGTGGACAATTTTGAAGGTTGGCAACAAATATTTTCTCCTTGTGAAGTATGGGTCTGCAAGAGATGTCTTTCGTCACCACAGTCTCAAACACTGCGCCCTGCTCACACTCACAATTCACTGATAAATTTCTGTGACAGTCCTATGAAAACAGCTTGGGGATTCAGATGCAGAACCGAAATTCTTCCTCACTTGAAACATAGCGCTGTAGAATAGCAGTGCTGTACCTTAAAGCCCAAGACAACCTTTATCCCAGAAATTCAGTTTAAGCTGGCAATTAAATTTACACGTGGCTTTATAGTTTAAGACTGTCTCTTGCGTACTGGCAAACCAAAGTCAATACAAAAGCTCCATCCTTTAAAGACTTGGAAAATTAAGTTGATGAGTGCAGTTTATTGCACTGCAGGTGCTAAACACATGCCCTAGTTACCCATCTATTCCCTGAAAGCACTCAGGTAGCTGTTCTCTCCCTCTCTCAGTTAGTATATTAATATTGAATTACTTTAAGGCAGACTTGCAAAAGCTTTACCAAGTAATTCACCTGGGAAGATCTGTTGACAACGCTGTTTTCCTCCCCTTAAATTAACAACCCAGAGAGTTAATTCTCACAACATGCAAGTTTGTGACGATCAAGCAGTAATGTCACAGGAGAAGTACGATGGTCCTCCTGACACACACAGGTCGCTTCTGAAGCAGCTCGCTTTGGCTGAACCACCGCCATGGCAATGGCACAGTGGTTGTTTTGCGCCTGTGACCTCCTCACCTGCGCTCAGCCCACTGATCTGTCTCCCCAGATGACTGCCAGCATTCCTAACCTCTCAGCAGCTTCAAAACAACCTCTTCCTTTAATAACAAAAACCCCAGATTACCACAAAAATGCTATCTTTTTCCTCCAAACATGAACCAAGCAGTGGCAGGGATTCCATTACAAGCAATTTAGGCTACTATCGGTGTTGGACCACTGACCATTCTTGGGTTTAGTATTTCAGGGCTGGAGCACTTCAAAAAATGAAGTCAACGTCCTGCTAATGAATGATTTTTTTGTTTTAGAAAAGTGTCAGGCATTAGTTTCCAGCTCTGACCTTAAACAGGATTAAGTATGGAGAAAGATTAAGTCCCAATTTTAATAGGCAAAACTGTCAAAACCTATTACAGGTTGGAGAAATGAGAGCCAATTAGGAGAGCTTTTAAGAAAAAACACCAATTAACTATTTTCTAGAAAAAATATGGAATACATGCTCCT